TAATTAATTTTTGTTTCATTTCAAATATCGTTTTATTATTTAAATACAAGTATACTAGATGTATATAAAGTTTGGTATCTGCGTATGGAAATTAAAATCATAGACCTGACATTTTCTGACCTACATACGGTTCGTTAAAAAAAAAAATTGTTTAATTGTAAAAACAAGTAGTATGAAATCCGCCTTTAGTCGTACGTATTTGTTAATGAATAACAATAATGCTGTATTACTTGCATCTCTTGAGGTCCATTAAAACCCGACGGAAACATTGAATTAATAATAAGTAGGCAACATTTTGCAATGCTTATGGAGTAGGTAGATATAATAATAATATTGTAAAGATAATTTCACAAACAATTGTTAAAATACATACAGAGGTTTTATGGAGAGATTTGTTTTATTAAATTATAAATAACTGCTTGATAATATATAATTATGATTTGTATTATTTAATTTTATGATTTTTGTATCGATTCGATTGTATTATATTAATTATTTGAAATAGATTTTAAATATAAATTTAAAATAAGTACACACACACAGTAGTATGCGTAGAGGGTGTGTGTAATGGTTATATGCCATTGGCTTAAAAATACAACTATGAATGGTTATTTGATAATAACATGATGGAATTATATATTTTAACTGTATTAAAATAATAAAAAGCTTGATTTATTAAATGAACCTAGGCATTTTTGGGATCCGACTTTTAAATTCTTACAATTGGGTTAAGTATATCAGAAGAAAATTGTACAATTTATTACTATTTACTACGCATCCTTTCCCATTGACAATTTTTGGGCACTCCTTTGAGCACAACACGGTAGGTACGTTGTAGATGAGTAACGAGCATGATGTTACATTTTGAACACAATATTTTGTTGGAATAGGTCCCTATGTATTTATTTGAGTCTAAAATTAAATATTACACTTAATTACTTTTTATTTGTTAAGTTAATGCAATACAAATAAATTGAGTTAAAAGTTAAATTAATGAAAAAACAAATGTTCAAAGCTAGGTACGTTAAGAGTTAAAATTAATACGATTAACTTTTTAACTCGTTAATGCCCAGCCTGGCGTATAGAACCTATATACATTATATAGGTATACTATACATTCGCCTAAAAATTAAATTAATTCTGATTGACAATCGTTTAAATGTTTTAACACACACCATAATATTAACGCTATAAAATCCATAGCTATTGGTTGCTATATATATTATATTCGTATAATATTTTAGTTGTGCCAGAGATGGATTTACACAATTGCCGCCACTAGGCAAATTATATTTTGTCGCCCCATTAAACTTATCAGTGAGAAAACGAATATTTAAGTATTTATTTAACTTAACTACTTAAAAAATATAAATCATATAAACTGTTCTAATCAAACAAATATTGTTTATAAAATATAGTGTTTACTTATCAATAATATCCGAATATTAAGTCTATCCGCCTTGAAAGTTGTGTTGAAAATAATCGAATTTCTAATCAGAATTAACACATGGATAATACCTATTCTCTACTCAGCCGCACTCTATTTCATAGTCACGAAGAAAAATATTGTTACAATTTTATCTTTCGGATAGGAAAAAGTTGTATTTTTGTACACCAACACTTGATAAATATGTATAAAAATAATTTAACTTTGGCATTAAGAAAATGTATTACTATAAATTATAGGTAGGTAGTTTCCTTTAATTGCAAAGGTTACAAGTTACCTTACAAAATCTAAAAAAAAACTAATATTCTCAATAAAATATTGGCGTAAAATTGCCGCCCTAGGCCACTGCCTACTGTGTCTGATGCTAAATTCACTAACGGCTGTACTGACAATAATATCGTACGGTTTAATTAATTTACGATTATGTTTTTTTTTATAAGACCGCCAAACAGAGAGTATGATATACCGACATATTATAATATTATAGTTTTTGAGCACTTGAATTTAACCCTAACAAAAAAAAAAAAAACCGACATAGGTATATATTTTATTATAAATACTTTTGCGTTTATATTTCAGTAGTCTTTATATTATTATTTATCATTTTTAATGTTATCCATACACGTCATAACCGTATACGATTTTTATATAATAGTGTAATTAAATCACCACGGCCGCCGGTACATACCGGGAAAAATAATATAAGTACAGGATAAATATTTTTCGTAAAATATACTGGAAGATAAATTATTATTATTATTTATAATATTATATTCGAAAAACGATATTTCCGAGTAAAGCTTGAAATTAAAAAATGCTGTCAATGCTCACTGGAATTTCTCTTTTCAGTTTTTTGCCGTTTTCAGATAATCGAGCAGCAAAGAATTTCCAAAAAAAAAAAAAAAAATAAAAAAATGACCCTATAAATAGTACCTTCGGGTTCCATATTTTTTATCTAAAGATACGTTACTGCACGGAAATTGTTAGCATTTTTACGGACCCGAAATTTATTTTTCTGTTTATTATTATATTAGTATCTTAAACACTAATATGTTTTACTGAACAATTTAAATTTCCTTTTCTAAATTAAACGTCTCGGAAATAAAAATACACGGAATACCACTAAATATATTATTATTATCGTCTTTTTAATTTGATTTACGGCACTAACCATCGGTCGAATATTACGAACCAATATCGCTATTATGAAGATTTACAATTTATTATATTAAATTACTTTGTTTTCTATTTCAAAATTATTTTTCGCTAGACATATTGATAGTTTTTCGAATTCATTAACTGGCGGAGAGTTCTGCAAGTATTATTGGACATCTTCTTTCGGGTCAGCTTGCGATGAATGGGAACAACACATTTTTGCGATATATGTACATCGCATTTTTCACTGTTTCACCTCTATTATACAAGAATCTAGGTTGAAAAATATATCGTTTAATACAATTATTATTTTTTGAACAATTTTAGTGTTAATCATGGTAAAAGTCGCAACGAATGGATATATATATATATATATATATATATATATATAATGTGTATTCTATATGATGTATTTAGGTTTTTATACACATTCTATCGCCTATTATAATACAACAATGTTTATAGTAACAATGAAATTAGCGGCAACGCGTATACGAGTACCTATATAGGTGTATATTGTAGTTACCTATCTGTAAAATAATTATTTTTTTATTGTTTTATTTTTTTATTTTAAGCGTATAACTTTCTTTACTCAGCAGTCACAACAATATAATAGTATATAGTGTTTTGGGTACCCAGTGATGGAAGGTATAGGTGGTAACTGGTTGGTACCCGGTACACTATATCGGTAAGGGTGAAATCCACGTCCTGTCGCAGAATTATTCGTCCTTCCGACTCAGTGAAAGTTCATAATAATACTACGGCCAACAGGTATCGCGAATCGCCATTATCGCACGTACAAGTGAAACATGTCGAATCACTACTGTACCTACTGCGGATAAGACCTTTTAGGTATAGGCGGTGTGCACGGTACAGTGCGGTACACTTTGAAATAATCGACTAACAAATAGAATATAATGTCGGTATACCTGTATTATATTTTCAGGGAGTGTATATTTTCGCATATGCTTACGTCTACGGAGATGATATAATTATATTATTTAGAGAGTGCGATGTTTTTATCGATTACAATTTTAAGGCAGTATCGATATTTTCTTTTTTTATCTAACACATATACTACCAGCTTAACAATTTACACTAATTTAGCCAATAGGTCCAATTGATTTTGCGAAGTGATAATAATTCTGAAAACAGATTTGAATTTGCGTGAAGTGTACATCGCGATCAGTCAATCGGACTTTACATTGCATATTTATACATTTTAAAATCTTCGAATAGACTTCTTGAAATGAGGGATTAAAATTTGAAAAATGGACCGATCGATTTCCATATATACTACATGTGGAATTTAAGTCTGTTGTCAGAATTCTTACCGTTTTACTATATCTTTTGGATTGATTTCTATAAAAATGGTCTAATTTGTCATGTTGAAAATGTGTCAGCCAAAGGAAGAAAATATAGATATCCAATCTCTTTTAACTAATTTATTTCTATTTTTTTTTTTTCCATTAATCATTATGAAATTGGATCGGTTTTATTTTAAATACAATGTTCACCCAACTCCTTACACCTTAAACGAGTTTTAACTTATGATTATAAACCGGTAACAATTACATTTATTTCAATACAAATTCGAAGAAAGAATATGTTTTTAGAAATTTCGATGTGTATGACAGTTGGATTATAGAAAAGGGTAATACATTTCATTTATATTTTTAAATGATAATACCTTTCTATTGGAAATCTAAAGTTGAAATGTTTTTATGATGATCAACGAAACAGGGGTAAAATGTTGAAAACAAAAGCTAACTAAGTTTTATTAAAAATCTTGGTATAATAGCTGGTAATCACTGGATCATGATAAAAATAAATCGCCCTGTACCCCAAATAGTTTTACCCTACATAGAGTTTTTTTTTCAAATATACTTTTGTTCTCGATTTTATTGTATTTTTGTTTTACGAAGAAAAAAAAATGTGTACACATGTCTATATATCACTAATCTGCCTTACAAATCTATTATATCGTGGCGAGTTGTGTATTATATATTTTGGAGGAAGTCGTAATTAAAACTTGCATTGGCATTAGGCCATGCGGTTTTATTGATTTGCCTCATGTTTTCACGCATCACCGGTTTCCCAGTGAAACAGAACTGTATTAAACCCGTTTTATTGCCAAAAAATAAAATACAAAAGCTCGTGTTCGTATACGTGGTAGAACACGGGCCAATAAAAGACATATCACATGTATGGAAGACATTATTATTATTATTTTTTTTTTTTGATTGTTCGAGTAATATACGAATGTACTTTGTATACGGGCATAACGACAACATATATAATAATGTGCGTAAATCATATTTTTTTCCACACGCAGTCACGGTATAACGAAATATTTTGTTAAACTATGATATACTTGCAAAAAAAAAAAAAAAAAACATGGCCAAGGTTAAAATAAATAATGTACTGTTTTCCCCCAATTAAAGCAGAATTATAACGAGTAATTATATCTATTGTTGATTTTTTATTGCTATTATTTTTTTTTTAATAATTGTTAAAACTCGGGCGTGTAGTTCAAATAATATAATAATAATGTGTAGGTACCTATAGCACTTTTGCTGCAGTATATTTAAGGTCAGCGCAATGTATTTCCATTAAATTAATGCATTTTAATTTCGTGTTAAATTGTGATATAAGTATAACTGCTTTTTAAGTGACTTTAAAGTTTGGTCAATTTATCGAATTAATGTTTAAAATGCTTAAGTTTTCAAACAGCGAATCTTTTGATAATAAAGTCCATGCCGTTGTCAATAATTAAGAAATACGATTGATAAATTTAACAATTATAATATAAATACCATTTATCATCATGTCCTGAAGGCAGCACCTTGTTAGATTAGCCACGTGTGTCCTTTGCTGCGTCCTTTAGCTCTTGGTAGGATGTGCAGGCCATCTTTTCTTCTAGATCATGAAAATAATTAATTCTAAGTATTCCTCTTGGTCTTCGTCCCATTGGTCTTCCATAAAATATGTCATTAAGAAAATCATTGTGATGTATAAGATTATGTCTAACAAACTTAATTTTCCTTTCCATTATGTTAATCATTAGACTTCTTCTCTCACCTACTTTTTCTAGAACTCTTTCATTTGATTTTAATTTCATCCAATTGATCTTAATCATCTCCCATAATTTGTTTTTATCTTTCTGTATCATTGTGTATGTCTCACATCTATAACATAAAACACTCCATACAAAAGTTTTAATATACTTTTTACAAATTTCAATCTTAAGATGTTTATTACTAAGTATTTTGTACTTCTTGAAGAAAACTTGTTTAGCAAGAGCTATTATTTTCTATATATTTGCAGCTGATTGATTTTTATTCGTAATTATGCTTTCTAGATAGAAAAACTCACTAACTTGTCGTATATGATTGTTTCTTAGTTTGACTTGTATTTCATCATTATTATTTACTTTACTTATCGGCATTGTTTTTGTCTTTTCTTTGTTGATCTTCATTACTTATCCAATATATTTTCCAAAGTGTTAAGCGTTTTATTAATATCATTTCGAGACACAGTTAGCAGTAGTATGCTGTGGACCCTTCGCAATAAATACCATTAAAACTATATAATATTTTTCATCAATATTAACAGTAGGTATAATTTATTGGTTATAACTCGAAATTATTTATCTATAAATATATACGAAGTTAAATTTTTTTTTAGTTTCATCACTAATGTTTGTTGGCTTAATTTAATTGAAAATTGAATATCAGCCATTAATTTATTATCAGAATGTATTTATTTGGTTTTATCGATCCTATTATATCGCATATTATCTGCAGTTAAAATATATATCTATATGAATAGAAAATATTCTATTTTTGTATAATTTATTGACTTGATCAGTTATCTATTAATCATCGCACTTACATCCATAAACTCGTGATATTTTAATACGTGCGTTGAATTTTATGCTATAAAATCGAGTCAGCAGGTTTGATGGTATTGAATGAGATTCTTATACTATATTAAATAAAATTAGCAAAATAGTATATTTTTACTTTTATACAGCCAATTATTGGGATACAAAATCTGGAGATAATATCTATGGGGATCTTACACATTATGTAATAACGCTCGTTAAAAACCAAAAAATAAATAAAAAACCAACTCAAATATTCATGATACATTTAGTACATCCTTTTATATATCTGTATTTGACGTGAAACATTTTTATATAATAAGACCATACAATTGTTTTGTAAAAATACACGCATTCTTCTTATACGATTTTCCGACGTTTAAAATCTATTTATTGTATTATCTTTATTTTTCGTCGGATATTTTTATATTATAACGTACAATTTGTATGTTGATTAATTTTAAATTAATCAGATTTTGATATTGGTTTGTTTTGAAACACAAGCTGTGATTTTTAAACTAAAGCGATGCCTTATAAGTTATAATTGGTATTTGGTATTGGGAATCGTTAAAGAACAGTATTTACGTATATTTCGAGTCATAATATTTTATGTAAAAGTTTAAATTCTGTTATTTTTCTGAAAATGTTATAGATATAATACTTACCTAAATAATTACTATTGTTATCAAATTGTAAGCTTCTATATTTAATACCGGTGCAGTAAATAATACAATTATATAAAAAAAATTCTTTACAATCAGTATTTTGTATTTTAATTTTTTATAAACAAAACAACAGAATTTTTACCTAATATAGCGTGTTTATTATATTTCAAAATCATTATCAAGAGAAAATTAATCTCAATTTGTACATCAATGAGTATGCGTTCGTCTGTAATTAAACGTTATTATAAAAATGTGATAAATAGTCTACAATAAAATATTATAGCGTGTCCTCCGGATATCCATGTAGACTCTAGTCGTGAGATCCTTGAATGGATAATTTGTAGGCCAATGGTTGAACTTTTATTTCTGTAAGATTATTTGAATCCGTCTACTATAAATTTCAAGGTCGGTCAATACGATAATACGATACATTTAATAGGCTGCCAATTTCGAGTAGCTCACGTTTATTTCGGTTACAAAAAAATTGTATCCGATTTCCTTAAATAATTTAACGTATTTATTTGATTCTGAATGTTGTGAGGAATGCATTGGTTTTACTAAATGTTTTTTTTTTGTACCTGAAAACAACTTTTCTACCAGAAATTTTGCTCCTAGTAAATATTTATAGGAACTTTCTTATAACATTTTTAATCTTGTTGGTGCATTTAAAACTTATTATTTTAATTTTTCTTACCTTTTTTTTAATAAATGAGAAAAACTGTCAATTAACTGTGTGATTTTTGTTAATTTCTGTGTCAGCAAAGGGGAAAACGCGACTTATAATACTACTAAACAAAAATAATACTCTACCCAGAATCGTTTTTCGTTATTGGCAATGATTTATAGTTTCGTACAGATATAAATTAAATTACTCTATGTATTCACTCTTTCAAATTCACTCTTAAAACAGTGTCACGTGACTCGTGCTCATTCTTAGTATCGACGGTTTTTTAATTTAAAAAAAAAAAAATCTATACCCGTACATATTATATAGGTATAGCCGTATAGGCATTGGTGTATTTATATATATATATATATACACACAAATCCGTCGTGTAACTATATATACATTATATCGTATAGGACATTGGCCATTATGCTCACGATCGCGTAAATATTCGGTCTTAAACGCATTCGCTATTTCGGCTGCACAAAGCGGGAGAATCACCGTAATGAAAAATAATGGGATATAAATCAAATGACGCTATAATGCTCACTATTACACTACCTCGTGTACCTACTGTATAATATAATATGGCCATTGGGATCTTTAAGAAAATTCGTGTCACGTTTGCTACAGCTTCGGTAAAACACGCATTGCCGATAAAAACCTTTCACTGTTATTTTCTTTGCTTATTCAACTCGAGTCAACGTACGAAATATATATATTGTATAAGCACAGTAGGTATATATACTGCTGCAAACGGTTTTACAACTCAATTGTTAATGCAATGATGTTATATACATTCGTATTATTCCTATTTGTTTTTATTTTCTAAACCCATCACTCATCCCTCGTCAAATTAATTTCATGTCGTCCCGATGAAATGCGTATACAGTGTATACCGTCGTACACGCTGCACATTATTCGAAAACTGTGATATAAAATATTAAAACCTATAAACGCGCGCTGCAAATCTTTGAAACGAAAACCGAACGATATTATACATTTTTGTACAACGCGTAAACTTAAATATAATTTGACTATAATCACTTATGTACTTACTATAATAATATACTATTATTTACAAAAGACGCGGATTTTTCAGACGGTGGTACTTTACTTGAAAACATTTCAAAATTGTCTACAGTTTACCCCCTAGGTCCTTTTTTTTTGGTTTTTTGTTGATATCAGGGGGGATTACTATGGTTCTATTGTTACACAAGAGCAGACATAGCTATTAACCAATTCACAACGTCGCTCAGAATCATTTTTCATATTAATTATTAATAATAGTAGTATATGATTATGTATTCTGCTCGTATAGTAAAAATACAATTAAAAAAAAATAATAATAATGCTTTATTTAATTAAAAAATATTACGTTTTCTGACAAACTATGTTAAAATTAGTTTATTATATATGTATAAATCCTAGATAGATACCTAGTTTTCACTGTGCATATTTATTTAAATTAAACCAAAAACCTTGGTTTTAGATTAATGTTGATTTCCCATGACTAATATTTTTTTTGTTGTATACGTTGATGTTTTATTGCGCATCGTGCGTTACTTATAACTAATTGTCTGAGTATTTGTGCACCTATATATTATTATTAGGTATTATTATAATATTGTATAAAGGTACGCCAAACTCAATAATTTCTTCTTTACACTACCGATTTGTAGGAAATTGAACCTCACTCATTATATTTTCTTTAAATCATTTACCAAAAATATGTCTTATACAGTTATATTCCTAGATGTCTATTCAATAGAGTATAATCTCTCGGTCGTCATTTAATTTTTTAAACTATTATAATAGTTATAATACCATTGAAGTTTGCTGTTTAAAACATGTATTCTTCGTACGTTGCCCAGTTAAAATTGTTTGAATAATATAATTTTCTTTTGAAATTTGCGATATTTTATCATACTATACTTAACATAAGTATTAGGTAACTAACAATATAATATACATAATATATAATTCCCACGTTTTATTTGTAAGGTGAGGTTTAAAAACGTATTCTCGACGAAAACGGCAACAAGCTATACGAGTATTATATTCTTTATTTATAATTTAATGATGTATTTATATATGCGTAGGTAATACTATTGGGATGTAAATATATATATGCATTATATTATTATATATAAAAAAATACGTATCAATTTCGTAATATTTGATTGCGATACGATAATAATATGTCTTTTGGTTTATTGCCATTATTATTACTATTATTGTTATTATTGGATTTGAAGTGTTTATGTTTATGCGACAAGTGTTGTACGCGTCTGTATACAACAACATTACAACACATCAATTTAAGCGCGTGATACAGCCCAGATGAACCGTTATGAACCGGTTATTAAATGGTGGACAAGGCCACAATTATACAATACTACCAGGACTGCAGTAGGGTCATCATAACATACCTACCGGTAAAGCCGGTTTGTATTAACTTCCTGTGCCAATGAAAATATTATATTAAAGTGCCGTTCGCAAAGACCGCGAACAAAGATCAACGCTTTTTCGGTTTGAAATTATTTCTATAATATTATGCACGGCGATGACGTTATTATACAATCCAAAGTAGAATTCATTAATAACGTTTTCTTCAAATAGTTCTAAACATGTACCTATGTATAATGGTTGATTTCTATCTTATCACGCGATTACAACGCGATCCAACGATTACGATTTCTGATTGTGGGGAGTTCCATAATGATTGTGGAATCATTTAAAGTTAAGTTAATTATAGCAAACTCCTCCTTTTGAGTTCAGGGGTGTCTCCCGACCTTGGCTATGGGGCGGGGGGGAGGGTGCAAAATAATTACATTTTATAATAATGATTGATAAGAAAAAAAAAATGTGTCAAATATATGATTACGTCTACTTCCGTCACACTGCCCGGAAGCTAAACATTATCTGTCCCCCTTATGACTGCACATCCACCCTACGCCTTTTATTTTTAGAAAATATTGCTAATCGCCGTCATTCAGCTAATATATCATTCCTATCTAACCTACTTTCCTCCAAAATTAGCAGCCCTGAATATCTATCTAGTATCTATTTTTAGGATCCCCTCCTATTGTACTCGATCATCTGTCCCTTTCTATAATAACTATCTAAACTTTCGAATCATTCGTCTTATGCGTATTGCAAATACTGATCCCAATTTATTTCTTTAAAGGGAAACTATAGTTTCCATCAAGCATCTATCGGGTTTGTCTCATTTAGTATTTTAACATCATTATTTTCTATATTATTTTCTATTGTTGTTCTATATTGTTATATCCTAACTATCATAATTCATGTATTGCTCATGTCATTCCTGGGCGTGACCTGTATTATATTATTAAAATAAAATAAAGAAATAAAATTTCTATCA